TGTGTGCCACTGGTTACAAAAGAAGCTATTTACACTCTGGTTGCATCTGCAGTACTTCAGGTACTTGTTCCCAGGCAGGGTGTTAAGTGTTTTGGTTCCCGTTGTTTCGGCACAGACTTAGTGCTGTGTGTACCTGAAGAATTTCATAAATTATGTAATGATTACTCTGGCTTAGATTGAGAGTTCAGTAAGACTGGGAACTTTCTGTCACTTGTGAGAGTCTAGTTTCTTTCTTCTTGTTAGTATCCAGGCTTTTCTTTGACCTGTTCTTAAAAATCCAACCCCAAACCCCAATTAAAAAAACCCAAACGAACGACGAGAAAGCAGGAGGGAACTGATAAAATATGAAACTGGAATATCCTTGGTAGCAGATGTTTAATATTGCAGAGGGAGACACAAGACCATATAGAATGATGGAACTTAATCTGCTGAAGCTCTAGAATAGTTAACGTAATTTTTCAGTCATTGGCTTTCTATTTTGAAAATCATTCTTCCTTTAAAAAAATGCTCATGAATGGAAAGTTGAGGTTGTTTTTATGGCTAGTGATAAATTAATTTTGTTTGATAGTCAAAAAAAAGAGAACACCTTAATTTTCTATTTTAATTCTAGCCAGGTGAAAATCAGGAGAATAATGTAAGTGATGCAATTACTAGTAGTCTTGTTTTTGAAACTAAAGAGCTGAATAATTGCAGTATACTCTGCTTCTTCTTCTTGGAAGTTAAAATTAATTTCTTTACGGAGCCGCAGATTAAGTGGAAAGTAGCAATTGAAATGTTATCTTGGGGAATAGAATTCGTGTGGCTTGTGGTGCTTCACACCAGTTGCTTTTCTCCTTTATTCTGGTATTATTGGAAAACAAATGCATAGCAGGTTGCACAGAATGGCGTTTACAAATTTGAGCTTGCACCCTGCAACAGATTTCCCAGAATGATGTCTGGGTGTATTGTCACTTCAGACCTATCTGTGATTTAAGGCATTTGAATGAAGAAGAATCCAGGGGAGAAATCTCCTTTGTTTGCTCTTTGAGGTAGCTCAGACTCTGGCAATTTGTAAAAATAACTAGTTTAACTTTCACAGACCAAGTGGGTTTGGGTTGGGACTTCTCACCTGCCTGGTTTGGAGAGGGTTTGGCACACTGCAGGAAGCTTCTTAGCTTCCAGGGCATGTACTGTTGTGATACAGATCTCAGTAAATGACAGGGACTGACTTCTGTATCTTCAGCTACCACCTGCTTATTTGAAAACTCTACTAAAACCATGTAGTTTATCTTCTGAAGCTTATCTTTTGTTGAAATGACAAAGCTGCCTATCTTGCCTTCAGACCTGTATTTAGAAACTTTTTTTAAATGTGTGTATTTTTGTGAGATCTCTAGCAGTAAGACAAAAATAAGAATAGAAGTAATAATTTCATTCTGATACTGCCTCTATTAGGTACTGTCTCAACATTTTCACTCTAAATTTAGTAGTACTCCCGATCTGAACTCCATCCAACAGCTTGGTTTAAGCAAGTTTATCTCACCTATTTTCTGTTTTCTCTTTAGCAAATCCTCTCATGCCTGTATTCATAACTTGTTTTTCCTTTGTTCCTAGATTCTTGCAACTTCGTGAAATAGCCATTAGAGCAAAGTGTAAATGAGACTCAGGATTATACCCCTTCACTGACACTATTGATAACAGTAGTGAAAAAGCAGATAAAGGAGTCAGTTACATTCAGTTGAAAATGGGTGAATTCTGTAGCCAAACTGGTACAAGAGAGATTAGTGGCTTGAAGCTGGAGACTGTATCAGTACATCTTAGTGAAGTCATTGTGTGTTTACTGATCTACTCCATAGTGATATGACTGAATGGCACATTCGCCTAAACTGGTTTTAGCTTGAAGTGGGTTAGGTTTTTTGTTGTATTTCAGACATCAGTGGAGCTGCTGGAATTTGAAAGCCAAAGCTTGTTCTTTTTATGCTTTAGATCAAGGATAGACACAGACTTTGCTTTTGACTTTTATTTAAGAGCTTCAGATTTTGCTTTTGTGTTTGCTGTCTTTATGCCCTCTGCAAAATCCTTCAGTTATTGTAATGGTTTAGAGTAGGAACCAGAAAACACCAGGCTACTTTGAAATAGTGATTTCAGTCCTCTGAAGTCCATTGTTCTTGCAGTGGACCTGACCAGTGGATAGATGTTAGCTGCCTAATTTATGGAGGGTAGGCAGTGTACGAAAATATTTTAGCTCCAAACCTTTGTGCTACATAAGAAGTCTGGAAATACCACAATTGAGATGTATGCTGAGAAATGTGGAATTCCTGCTTGCAGTGAATTGTTAATGTGTGATTTATAGGTATGTGGTGTTTTCAATCTGGCTGTTAAATGGTGAAAATCAGAAAATTGCTTTTTAACATGTAACAGGCTACTGAAAACTTTCTTTCCTTAACCAAGTGCCCAAGTCTTGATTTAAATTCCAGTGGACTTTTTTTTTTTTTTTAATTGGAAAGACCTGTTTTCTTGGCACATGTATAGGCACAGTGCAAAACAGTTAACAGCTGGAGCTGCCCCCTTGTGCAAAGGGAGAAGCTGGAGGAGTAACAGTCCTACATTGGGTGGTGTTCATGAGGTGCTGATAGTTTCTGTCTGTGGGACTATGGCAGAAGAAATCTGGTTACATCTGCTTTTGCCAGTGACCTGGTCTTGCATCTTGTGACTTGAGAAGTAAGGAAGTCTGTTTTACAGCACACACCTGGATCTGCCTTCCTGCTCCTACAGATATCTCTTCTGTAGAGTACAAGAATGGTAGCTGTACCATGACTTCTGTGGAAATACACATCAGTCACAGTTTTAAGGCATTCATTAGAAGCCTCAGTTCTTCAGGGTGCAGAAAGTTCTGTGAAAGTTTTGATAAAAATGACCCAAGTGTCAAGTATTTTTCTCTTCAGTAACTTACTGAAAGAGGAAGTGAAAGGAGAAGTATTTGAAGACTGAGAAAGAGACATAACAAAGCTTTGGTAGTATAATATTTTTGTTATTTCCAGGAGGCACTTGTGAATTCCTTAGTACTTCAAATGCTACATGACAAATGCAGACATTAAAGTGAGGATGTTGAAGTAAACAGCAGTGTTAACTCTTGCAGAAATCTGATATCTATTGCAAGTTCTCCCCTGTACATGTGGGGACAGGCTGTTTCCTGGTTGGCAAGAACTGGGTGTGTAATTTCAGGAATGTAAAGCGAATATTTTAATCCTGATTATGCCAATGTTCAGCTTGAGTGGCTGGATCTTGGAGCATTGTATGGAACTATTGCCATCCCATGTCAAATATTGGTATAAAAAACATGAAGCCAATAACTACAGCTTTTTGTGAAGTGCATTGTTATGTCCTGTCAATGCCAAACTATGACATGGGTGGATTTTAATGCCGCTTTGTACTAAAGAATGTTAGCCATGTGTGCTGAATATTCAATTCAATTTCATTCAGAAGAAATGCTCATGAATGTCAAATGTAAATATAAATTTTGATAGGCCCTAAATTTCTGTTTCAGGATCCAATTAAACAGGCTAAAGAGTGTGAAAATCTCATGATGTGAATTTGACACATCTAGAGAGCTGGAAAACAGTCCAACTTCTGTCTTTCATTTTGGAGCAACGCCAGCAGCATTATCTGATGGATGTATGCAGTTCCTTGCTTATCAGTCAAGCTGCTATAATAAAGCAGTACTGTTTGTAGAGTACAGTATCTGTCACACTATTATTAAAACCTCTCTGTACACCAGCAGCACAATGGAAAACACTGCTGCATATGAGATTTGTTTCCAGTATCTTTGCAAAAGATACTGAGGGGCTGTCTCTTGGCAGGATAAGATTTACATCCTTTTTTCAGATGTTTTCGCACAGAATGATGTTGACTCAAAAACCCAAGATACTGTCTTTCATAGTTAGCATCGTAAATTTCTAGTACAGTTAAAAACAACAAGTTTTTTTCAATTGTGGCCTTTTAACTGCCAAGTCATTTCCTTTTTTTAAATACGTATGTTTCAAAACTACCATGAAGCCCTCGGAATAAATTTGATTCTACCTCTTCTGTGCCATCAGAAACCTGCATCTATGCATTGCCACCTTCATTGCCTCTAATAAATTAGGTTAAACCACATGAAGGTCTCTTTTCCTTCATAAAAAATGAAGTCTGTGGATGGGCAATTGCCACAGCTCAGTTACAGGTTATACCTGCATGTACTGTGATCCTGTATATGAGGGCACTGCAAGCTGCACAAGTTTGATGCAGACTGGGCCAATCAAATTAGGGTAAAAGACATCAAGGTGGCAAATGGGGTTTTATCAGTTTGTAAGTGTTATCTGATGTTATCCCTTCGTATGAGCTGTTCTGTCTCCATGTTGATATTATTGGTGACTGCAAAATTGATTTGATTATTCCGACTGACAGTGTAGAAAATTCAGCTCTTGAAGTGTGCTTTCTTGTTTTGCTGAAATTAATTCTGGGGAAAAACAAGACTTGAGAAAGACAAGCAGTATGAGCAGTAGGAATTTGATGTGCACTCCTTTTAAATCTCTAATGGGTGCTATCAGAAAGGACATGTTTGATGTATGGAGGAGTGGGCTAAGGGAATTGTAATTTCTAGAAGTTCTGAGGTGTGGAGAATCAATACAAAACATTGTGGTAAACGATATTGCTTCAGAGGACAGCCTGGCTTCAATAATTCGGAGAGCTGCCATGGAAATGCATTTATTTCATATGTAAATAGAATAAATCACAAGTGGTGAGGAGCCTGGATATGAATCTCTCAAATCTGTGGAGATTTGTTTTTGTTTTAATAACAGGAGGAGAAACACAGGTATTGATATAAACCTACTCGATTGTCTTATTCAGTAGACTCGATTAAGAAAAACTGCAGGGTTTGTGCTTTGTGATTGATGTGTTTTTATTTTCTCTGTATGATAAATCAATTTAAATGTCTGTAAGTGTAAGAATATTGAAATATTTAACCTGTCTTCCCCCTTTAGTTATGCTCCTTGGTGTCCAGCTTGCCAGCAGATTGAATCAACGTGGGAGAGTTTTGCAAAGGAGAGTGAACATCTGGGTATCACTGTTGGGAAGGTGGATGTCACTCAAGAATCAGGTATGGCTTGAAACAGAGTGTTTTAGTAACAGGAATTATTAAATATAAGTACTACTTATTACTTACTTAAGTTTTAAAATCAAAATAATGTTATCCACACTATGTTTCTCCATATAGTTCATATCTGTGAACTGAAGTTTATAAACTGAATTTGAAGGATTAAAGAATTCAAAGGAGTGATCTGGCTTAATACTGTATTAAACGGGGCTTATTCTCTATTTTAATCTGCTTCACTGAAAGCTGTTGACTGTCTCATTCCTCTCCTCCAAACTGTCTGAATTCCAGGTCTGTAGCTTCCCGTTAGGAAAATTTCAGGGTGTGGTAGCACTACCACAGAGTGAACTGCTTTAATTAAATTCATAACTGGTTCCATGATGGTGCTGGTTTATTGTCTGGGTTGATTGTGGGAGTACCTTAAATTACAGATGTTGTTGTTTGCTGTTGGTGATGCACATATGCAAATATGTTTATAAAAAAGGTTTCCTAACTATCCACAGCAGCATGAATACAATCTAATTTATTCCTTTCGTGACTCCCTTCAAAGTTTTGAATGTGTTTGTAAAAGCAGTACCCATATTGTATAAACCCCTGCATCTCATGGGAATGCTTCATGCTTGTTTTGGCTTTGAGGGGATAGAGGTTTTTGTCAGCAGTATCAAAAGACTGAAAGATGAGATGTTACTAGAATAAAAAGGCTAAACTTTACTGATTTTTATTTTTTTCTTTTTCCTTACAGAGTGTGTGGAAAATGTGTTCATTTTATTAGTTGAAAACATACTGAACAAATTTGCTTTATCAAATTAACAGCAAGGAAATTCCTTAAACTCTGGTCTCAGAATCAGCAATTTAAATTCATAAGAACAGCTGTTGTAGACCTTGTGTAGGTTAACCTTTTGTTAAAAGCGTACAAAAACTCTTATGCCAAAAAGCTGCAGATACTAATCATTAATAGTTCAATAAACAGATGAATTTGAATATTGCATTTTTAAACGGGTGTAAACTTAAAGCCTTCTTCTTCATTCAGTTGCTATGTTTCAGTGCTCTCGTTATTCCTGCTTGCACAATGGTACCTTAATTAGTTGTAGTTATGTAAGCCCTTCATCAAATTCAAAGTAGTCAAAATGTGTTAAATTAAGGGAAGAGCACTAGATGCGTGCAAAGCTGCGTAAAATTGCACGTTTAAAACCTGCAGGAGAAAGTAGCCATTGATTGTCCTTAATTGCAGCAGATGCCTGAAGAATAAATCCACCAGAGCCTTAATGGCTTTATGGCTTAGTTCAGTCACTTGATGTTCTAGCCCTAAAGTGCTTCCCCTTGCCTCATGTTCTCTATGGAAACATTCAGGATGTAAAAAGCAAGTAGTGGAGATGCTGCTGGATTTTGAAGTTCTGTGTCTTTTGGTGTCTTTTTTTAAAGTTCCCCCTTGCAACATTTACCTGTGAATTAAAATAAGACTTCTTGGACCTTCTGTATTTTCTTTTGAGTAGCTGTTGGATGAAAGCAGCTGCATTTTTAGATGATATCTCTATTCTCTGTGTATTTTACCAGGGAGGTGTGTGTGCAAATACTGAAGTTGTTTCTCTTGATCAGCTGTTGACTTCATAATGGGTATATGTCAGTTTTTGGTTTGCAAACAGACAGATGCTTAACTGTATTTCAAGTTAAGGGAGTAGGCAGTTCAAGTTTGTATCAAACACACGCCAAAACAATTTACTGTCTGTTTTTAAATTTAGTAGCTGACTCACATTTGGTTTTACTGATCTAAGGATGTGTCTTAGATAACCAAGCCTCCAGCTAAAGTTTTGGGGAGGTATAGATGCATTTTGGCAACAGATTTTATAATTTACAGATTTTGTTGTTCCTTCTGAGACATTGGTATTTGCTCTAGGATAGGTTGCTGATAAGAGATTTAAACTAGCTGTTCTGTTTTGCGTGACTAGTATTTTTAAGAACTTCAGAGTCTTTCAGCGTTCCCACTACTTTCTCTGTTCTTAAGCTCGTTATGTATTTTATGGCTCTCCACCTAGTTTTCCTTGTGCAACTGCACTTTCTGCTTTATTAATTCTACCGTTAGACTTGTGGCTTTGTTTAGGTTATATCTCCCTGTGGTGGCACAGCTTTTAGCTGGTTTATAAAGTTTTCCACCACACTGCCTCTTGCAGCCATAAAGGCAGAGAGCTGAAAGCTTGAAGTAAAGGTGGTTTCCTTTTTGGAACTTTCAAGATGGGTTGCTTGTGATGTCTTTAATAAAACCCCCGAATAACAAAAAAACCCCCAACCCTTTTTTTCCTTAAAAATACCTGGCTTATCTCAGTATGAACCTTTGTCTCTAAAGGCACAAACTCTGTGGCTGCAGTACTTTTCTATGGCTAATCCTGGTGCCTAGACATGTTTGATTTATTGAAAGCTGAATAAGAAACTGAATAAGAATGCTGAGACATCCCATTCTTTATTATCAATCTGTTGGCATACCATTTGTATTTACTTGGAGAGGAGTGAGGTATGGGAAGAAAGGAAGGATAAGAACATAGAAACGTCAAAAATTGTCTTGTACAGCCTCATTTATGAGAGAGATGGAGTCTTCCTACAGGATGTAAGAACACACTAGTTGTGCAGTGTATATGGATTATTTGGAAGAAGCCAAATACAAAGATTAATTTATTTGATGACTTGGAGTGCCTGAGAGCTGAAATGTGTGGCTCTAGGTCATTTAAAATCATCGACAGAGGATGAATTAATATCAGGGCCAACTTGGAAGTGGCCCAACTTTCTCCTGGAAGCAAAAGTCATCTGGATGACACTACACACACAGACAAGCACAGGACATCCTGGAATATGGGTTCATTTGTGTGGCTCTGTCTTGGATGGAGGGACACAGTGCTGGTCTGGTGAAAAATTCACCTGTGGGCAAATGCTGATTAGAGAAATCATTAATTAGAAAAAATTCACTGCAGTAAATATTCAAGGTCAGCATTTTCCCTTAATTTGTCAACATAATTTAGCATCTGTTATTGTTTGTAGCATATCTGTAGACAAGCTCTTAACCTGTATTTACAAAACAATGGTAAAAGCTGTGCAGTCTGCTGCTTTCTAGTCTAAAATACAGATCTGTAGGTATTTATAGATAAGTCAGAATGCTGAGAATTTAAGTTTTACTGAACTGTTTGTGGTGTTTTCTTCCCTGTCTAGGCTTGAGTGGTCGTTTCTTTGTCACAACACTTCCTACAATTTACCAGTAAGTGTGTCATACTGGAAACTGCAGCTGTTGACTCCTACTTGTTTTAAACTGTACCTCTGAAACACAGGGGGAAATTAAGGAATACTGACTGTTGCTTTCAGCTCAGGTTATTGTTGGAGCTTTGGTTGTATGATGAAATCCTCATCTGAAGCTTCTCTTTAGTTTAAGTGACTTTACCTAAAGTTTCTCTGTTACCAGCACTATTAAAATGGATCAGGAAAGATTTGCTGTATCTCTTCTCCAGTAAGATGATGTCATCCTTAAAATACTGAACCCTTTATAAGTCAGGGTTTTGTGAGTCATGCAGATATATATATGCACACTTTTAATTCTAAGCTGTGTCTAAAAATGGTTTGGTAGTTAATCTTATGTGCTTTGTATTTGCTGTGGTGCAACTGAATATTTAACAAAAATAGCAGTTTGCATATCATGATGTGTAAAAACTGAGATCCTCCATCACAGATTACAGTTTCAAAGCATTCAACTTTCTGAGCAAGTGAAATCTATAATGTATATGGGATGTTTGGTTGGATTTTTTGCCACACATACAGTTCAGAGGCTCTCTTGTGTTAATGGGTGTTTCTGTTTCCAGTGCAAATGATGGAGTATTCCGCAGGTACCGTGGCTCACGGACACTGGAAGATCTCCAAGGTTACATTTTAGAGAGGAAATGGGAAGCTGTGGAGCCTGTAGCAGGATGGAAGTCTCCATCTTCTGTAATGTAAGACTTAGTTTTTAATGACGAGACTTGTTTTATAGCTTATTATTCATTAAGGGTCCTGTGTTGACAGCTTAAAGACAAAAGGCCTTTATTCCAAAGACATGTAGCTTTGAAGAAGCAATGTGTATTGACAGGCTGTTTTCCAGTTTTTCACCTTTAAAGAACAGTTAATTTTCTGCATTCACTTGTGTTCATGCCTGCTAAGGCTTGTTTATATGATCTTTGAAAATTGATAAAGAAAAATAATATAGTCACTGAGCATTACATAAGTGCCACTTGGAATATCTGCTGAGTACTGGAATTAGGCAGATGTTTATGCAGATTATTACTTCATGACTTGCTGCTGCTTGGAGCAGGCAGCCTTTAGCTTTAAGGATTTCTTGTTTATTTCTTTACAAGCAAGTCTTCTGTCCTCCTTGGGAATAGAAAATAGTGTAGTGCTTACACAGTATATCAGAATTTGTTTTGAGAGCAGTGGATTTGCTTTGAAATAGTGTAGAATGCTTGCATGACACAGAGGATGAACCTAAGATGTGAGTGATCTACATTTCATGCTGGCTGAAGCTGTTACGTGTAAATTCACATCAAAGATCTAGCTAGTGTCCTTAGTTTTCATCTGAGAATGAGGAAGAGCTGTAGGATATTTAGTAATGGGGAGAGGAGCTCCAGGGCTGCCTGCTGCTGTGACCTGGGGACAAGGTGGTTGCTGCTGCACAGAGTTAGGTGGTGAAATTGCTATTTCTTGGTACAGTCAAATGTCCTCTTTTGAGTGACTGTTTAGAGCTTTGCATTGAGTTGGCTTAAATGACCATAATACAGAGAAAATGTTTTTGCAGTAGCTTCCTCCTGACAATTACTGGGGCCTGAAGGGCATTGAAAGTCTATAGAACCTTCTTTTTTGCTTTCTGTGCAGTTTGCTGTGTATTCCAACTCCTGCTGTCTTAAACCTGTTCCTTCCATTTCCTCGTTTTCTAGAATGCATGGCATGGCAGGGCTGTTTCACTTCTCTGGATGGATGAGGGTAAGTAACTATGTGCTAGTGTTTTCCATACCCCTTTTTATGCTTAGACTAATAATCTGTTTAAAAGTCAAAATGTAGCAGGATATTTTTATTATCTTTTTATGCAAGTTAACTTTGCCCTAAATTTACTGTACATTGGGTGTATTATATCTTTGCACTACAAATTTTGTAGTACTAATAGACTATGCCTAAAATGGCACTTTGATTGTAAAGAATATCATCAATAATGAAAATACTTTTCCTATCTTTGTGTAGGTAAAAAGTTCTAGTAGACTAAGGGGATGAAGTAGTTTTTCGAGAGCTGCTGCAAAAATGGTTATAAACATCAGGAATACACTTCCTTACTCTTCTTGTTGTGTTGTCCTTGCATATGCTTTAATAAACATTGGAAGTTGTTCTCCCATTTAAAAACATTCTTGCATTCTCTCTGTAATCACATTTAAAAGACTGTGGAATTTCAACAGTTAAACTCTTGTAAATGTTGGAAGAGATCTAATGCCATGGTTTAGTTCTTCCCAGATCATCTGACTCCATGTGCTGCTTGGTTTGTAGGTTTGAAGAACACACTGCAGTTTCAAAGACATCTCAATATTGTATTTGGATTATTACCTTTAAATTTATAAGTGAAATCACTTATTCAGTGTCTGCTTAGAATGGGTGGCTCCTTTTAAAAGCCAAGTAGCTTAAGTAAGGACTAAATGGCTTAATTTTAGTTAATGAACTAAATTAACTAATTAACTAGTTGCCTTAGATCAAGTATAGGATAAATACTGTTAAATGAAAGGTCTTAGTCAGATAGCAATTTATATAGTGGTTTTGGCAATAGAAATCATAAATGGCCTTAGGTATGAAGATACTAAGCATCTCTTTCTTATTTCCAGCAAATTCATAACTACCTCACTGGCACTCTTGGAATTCATGTTTGGGTTTCTTATGCAATCTTCATCTTGGCTACCTTATTGATAGGCCTGTTCCTGGGTTTGGTAAGAAAGCAGATTACTTTCTTTTTCTCAGTTACCTAGAACTTAACTTTTGTTAGAGAAATAAACTTCACTGACAAGATATACTTAAATACCTTGTTTTAATAATATATTATTAAATAATATCTCTCCCCTGGTATGGGGTTAGAATGCATGACAGTGGTTCAAAGCTGTGTCAGGGAGGTCTGGACAGGATGTTAGGAAGCATTTCTTCACCCAGAAGGTGGTAAACACTACAACAGGCTTCCCAGGGAGGTGGTTAATGCCCCAAGCCTGTCAGTGTCCAAGAGGCATTTGGACAGTGCCCTTAGTAACATGCTCTTACTTGGTCAGGCAGTTGGACTAGATGGTCATTGCAGGTCCCTTCCAACCAAAGTAGTCTCATCTACTCACTTCTGTTAAAATTCTGAAGTATTCAGCTCTGCAGATCCTCTCTCTGCTATTGTTACCTGCTTTGGGTGAAGGTTAAGACCTTAAAGTTAACTGTAACTTAGCCATGCTTTGATCTAGATTTGTTTAGTCCACCCGCTAAACAAGAGATTTTTATATTGGCCTGTTGTGTCTACGACTTTCATATGTAAAGACTGTGTGTGGTCAGAGTCGGTAAAGATTCCAGCTTTCTAAGAACACAGGCTTTGGGAGAAATTTTTATTAGCTGCAGAGGGATTGTATTTGTGGGAGTTAGCAATGTAAGGATGCTGCTACACTGTTACTCAAAATGAAAGCATGAAAATACTAGTTTTTTAAGGCCTTGAAGATTTGAGGATCTAATTGATCTATTCCATGGCATAACTTTGTGGTTATGGCTTGGTTTTAATAGAATCTGACTTCTTTGTCCCCTATGATCTTTTTGGGTTGAGTTTTCATTATGAATTGAAAAATCTGGTCTCACTTGTTACTAACCAGGACTGGTGCATTCATATATCAATCTCT